CCAGGGCTGCTGCAGGCAGCTCTTTTCTTTCCCATACTAGTCAGAATCCTTATGTTTTTGGGAAACAGAAATAGAAGCACAAGCTGGAAATGAGCATTATTTGGTCCCTCTACTGCCTCTCAAGGAAAGAAAAGAAAAAATGGTGGAGAATTTATATATTTTATCGATCCTTTGGGAAAATCAGTATTGGGCAACAGCCAGCTGTATTTTTTGTGGTTCTCAGTAGATATTTTTAGTTAATTTTTATTTGCTTAAAAAAAGAGAAAGCTTCACACATGGTTTGTATTTTCTACCTACTTGTTGGGTCCAAGATAGGTAAGTAACTTCGTATATTATACCCACAATCAGAATGAGAAATGACACATGAGGTCTGGGTTCTCGAGAGAAATATTATGAAATCTCAAGGTATTGATGAAAGTTTTTCAAGCTTGATCCAAATGGGATTTAGAGTCTGTGGCAGTTGAAATGTGTATTATTAAACTCCTTAAGCAAACCCGAATGAGTCCCACTGGAGGATTAAGACATTCTATGTATAGCAACGACGGAAGTCTCATGTCTTAGTCCTCTCTATTGAATTCCCCCTTGATTAGCTTCTGTAATATTTAACTTCATGCCATGCCATAATTATTTAATAAAAGGTAAATATAAATTATATTTCAGTGGGGATATGACCTTTTACCTTAATGTTATATTACTAAAGAAAGACATAGATAAATAGAGCCTATAGATTGAAGCGTATTTTTAATTTACTCTATTTGCATCTTGCCAGCGTTTCCCTGTCCCTGTCAGCCAAAGGGTTGGCAGGATGGCGTACACCCTGCCTTCGCATGGTAGGCCAGGCTGTAAATTTACGTGGATGATGGCTGTTAATGACCTGGCTGGCCCTTTGAGACGGTCTTGGTGCTTGATCTTGGGTACCTCATTAGCTAATTGAGGTTCTTGGCTGGCTCAGAAAAGCCAGAGAATGCCAGGGAGCTGGCGGCGGGGAGAGGAGGGACGGCTGGGATCCAAGGCGAAATGGATGCTATGGGATGTGACGACAGCCAGCCAGTTTGGAACCAGAGCAGATTGTTCAGCCTGACCTTGAGGCTTTGAAGACAGAGGCGGATGGGTTTTTAACAGCACCTGACTGCTTTTGATGGTGACTTGTACTTCAGATATGCACTTGATTAGATGAGATCATGTGTGCCCGCTTGCGCATGGGACCTTCGTCCCTGCCTGATGCACAGGACAGACAGCACCATGGCTTGCTCGACTCTCTCTTTGGCATGCACACGTGGCCCACCCTACCTGCCAGGTGCCTGCCTAAAACTGTGCATAAACAACAGACAGCTGTGCCGAATCTCCTCCTTCCCTTTAAAACATGCATTAGTCACCCTGTGCAGCCAAGAGGCTAAGTTCCTTCAAAGCCTGGGGCTGGGGAGAGGAGGGCAGGAGAGGCAAACCAGACAGAATGTTGATGGCTTTCAGTCTGATGGAGGAGGCCAATCACCAGCTTCTCCAGCAGGGGATTGTATTAAAGAAACAGTGCTCTTTCTTCCCCTTCCCTGTGCTGTGGGGATCCCGGCTTGGGAGCGCTCCTCCGTGGGCAGCAGCAAGGTGGGAAAAGGAGAAATGGTGGTGGCTGTGGCGGGTGGCATGGTCCGGGCTGCTGGGAGAGGCCTGCGGGGTGGGTGGCGGCACAGATGGGAAGGAGGGGGGCACGCTACGTAGAGAGGGACGTGGCTGCACTGGTGAGCCAGGGGATTGCTTCCGTGTGTGTTCAGCCCATCATGAGCATTCCCGGGCCTTCGGCTTTTCAGATGCCCGAGAAGAAGCTCTTCACTTGGGATGGCAAACGAAGCAATGTGTGCTGCTGAGAATTTTGGCACCAGATCTGTTTGCCCTGTAACTTCTCGGCCACTTCTCGGCGACTTAGAAGTTAGGTGACTCCGGGAGTCACCCATAGGGGCAGCCCTTTCCTGCAGCTGAGGAGGAGGCGAAGGGCTGTCTCTAGTTCCGAGGCAGATTTAGGGATTACAGGAGCCAGGGTTCAGATCCTTCTTTCACCCCGTAGTTTAATATGGGGATGAAGTTCAGCCCATAGGTATTTTCAACGAGAATTGTGATTGTGGATGACCTACTCTGGAGGCAGAAACAGAAGGATTGTGGTTCAAGGCCAGTAGACTATCCACCACAGGGAAAACCACCAGTATATCCTGATTGGGGGGAGGGGATGACGATGTTCTTATTGCAGGTCATAGCCACTCAGCATCCTGTTATTAAGAAAAAGCTTCTTAAATGGATGATTTCGAATGCTAAACAGAAGGAAAAGTTTACAGGATTCCACTTACAGCACACAGCTATTCAGTGCGTTTCTGAGCAAAATGGTGATGTAATCACTTCTCACCTCCGGAATAAGTTGGAGGGAAATAAAATCAATGGGAATCTATTCATGCTGGATCCTAAGCTCCGCTGGCATGCTAGAAAATGTGTGTGCTGGTGTGTGCGTGCCGGGTTGTTCTGCAGGCTGTGTGGCGGCTGAACTCCAGACTCTTAGGAAAGCATAGAGTTAGACCTGTAAGGAGACTGGAAAGACAAGCACCATCGTAAAAATGGATAAAATGGGTTAAATAATTGGACAAATAGTACGTGATAGTGAATGGAACATTAAAACACTACCTATGGAAGACAGATGGGACTAGTATGTCCCTTCACAAGAAAACAAAACAAAAACACCCACTCCAATTCCCAAAGACCACCTTTGGAAAATCCAGGGCAGTTGTCTGGGATCAACCATCCATACCCAACCCCCTAGAACAAAAAAAGAAGTGAAAACTAGAAATATAGCTGTTTGGGAAATTATAATGGGAGGGGAGGTAAAAACAAATCTAATATTGGATCTATGATAAAGCATTTAGAATTGTGAGGAAATGAATGGCTTTTCTAGACAAATGTGATTCTGAGAAAGAAGAACAAATGCAAGTTTCGGCTCGGCAGTTATTTGCCTGGAATCTCCTGAGCATGAAGGCTTTGGGAGGGAGGGGCCGGTGGGTATGCAGGTGGCCGTCCAGCCAACAATTGGATATTACAGGCCGAATCCCTAGCAAGCTATAAACTAGAAATAAAAATTTGTGGTGATCAGCACATACCTGGACATGGGAGTGGTGGGGGGGGGAGGCTGGGTGAAGTTACCATGGCAACAATCTAGAAGGGCATCATATTTACATAATGGGCTGAAGAGCAAGAGCCCCCAGAGCAGGCCGGGATGCCATACCAGACAGGTTAGTGGGAAGCAGAGTGAGCTCAGGAAAGCCAGTGGAGAGAAATATTTCCAGAAGGAGCAGATGTGAGCTGTGTCCGATGCCAAGTTGGGATGAAGACGAAAAGGTTCCCCTTGGTTCAGTGAACTCAACAAAAACAATTTGACTGGGATTCGTTCAAACTTGTAAGCAGGAGGTGCTATCCATGTTGAATATCTTTTTCAGAACATAAGCTAACACGTCTCTACTTAATCTGGGTGCAGTGACTCAAGCTTACAATCTAACAAAAAGTGACTCAGCAGTGTGTGAAAGGCTTTGCCTGTAATGTTCGGTCCAGTCATTCTAATTCTTGGCATTTTCCAGTTGAAACAAAATTATACACAAACAAATTATTGCTCTGCTTTTTATCATAGTGAGAAATAAGGACTTGACAAAATACCCAGAATTAGGAAACCACACAAATAAATAATGGAGTATGTTATGGAGGAAATTTGCAGGAGTTTTAATTATAAAGGAATATTTAATAGCCTGGAGAAAGTTCATGACATGCAGTATTGTTTAGAAGGTTTTCAAAAGTAAATGATGTAACAATATCAGTGATTTTAAGTACACGTGTGTTTAAATCTGGAAGGCTAGAAGAGGTAAATTGTGCTTGTCTCTGAAGTGATGGTATCTACGGGTGGCTTTATTTTTTACTATATATTAAAGTTTGGTTACAATTTCTTTGAAGAGGCCTTGTTTCAATATAGTAATAGCAACAGATGTTCATAAAATACACGTACAAAAAGAAAGACTTCAAAAAAGACCCCCACACTCTCCAGAGTTTATTATTCTCTAACAGGAGTGCACACAATATTATTTTATTCTTTGTATGATTTTTTTAACCTTTGGTCAAGCATTAGTTTTAAAACCATAAAATCTAATCAACAAATTTTGAAGAAAAGGAAAAAGAAAGGGAGAAAAGGAGTGAAAGAAAAACCCCAAAGAAACCAACCTTGAAAATTCTTGAGAAGAACAAAGATACTAAAGGATGTCATTTGTTCATTTACATACTCAGAATTACTCACTTAAGCGCCTACTGTATTCCTGGCAGTCTTCAGCCATGAAAACCCAGTGGGTGAGACAAAATGATTCTGCTTCAATGGATGTTTTGGTGTAGTACAAGAACCTGACATTTCTAAAATGTGTGTGCTGGGCTAGGGATATAGCACAGAGGTAGTGTGCTTGCCTTGCATGGATAAGGCCCTGGGTTCGATCCCACACAACACACACACACACACACACACACACACACACACACACTTGTTTAAAAGATGAGTGGATATAAAAATACAGTTAAGTGATTGATGTGTGTTTGAGAAATACTTTTTGAGGTAGAACACTTGCTTAGCATGCATATATCTTGCCTTCAATAAACAGTGCCTCCCCTCATCCAACAAAAAGTACAGGTAGATGCCTAAACCACAAAGGGCTCAAGTGTAGGGTGCCCAAGGGCAGGGCTTTATGAGCACAAGATCACAGAAGGTTATGTGTGCATGTGATGAGAATGATAAAGGAAAAAAATGTTATTTTGAAAGATTGATTCCAGAATTGCATGTGAATTAACCAGTGTCGGTGTCAGAATCTCCTGTGTGCACCTCGTACCTGTCAGTTCTGCGAGAGACAGTAGCAGAAGGCTTCTGTTACCTGCGCGAGGCGTTAACAGAAGGGTTACTGTCTGGCTTTGCTGTGTGACTCAGAGAGGATTTTCTCTTTCAGCACTCAATGAACCCACCATTGATTACGGCTTCCAGAGGCTGCAGAAAGTCATCCCCAGGCACCCTGGGGATCCTGAGAGATTAGCGAAGGTAAGATACTTGGAAACTCGACCTAGGAAAGCCTCTCTGTAGAATCCCAGCAAATGTAGACAAACCCAGCCTTTTACTCCCCCATTAAAGTCAATTAGCCCTTGAAATTGGCTAAAGTGTAGGAACGAGATGAACATAAAATTTAGACTATGAAATATATTATCTTTGGTCTCTCCGGAAGCATGAAACCTAAAAATTTTGGAGCCCATAAAACAGATAAGCTGAAAGAATAGTCAGATGATAAAACAATGCCAACTTTGTGGAAATAAACATTTTGCTTAATTGCTTGAAATGTGGGCTTCCTCTGCTTTGTATTTAAATACGATTTTATTTGCTTATATTACAGAAGCCCATCAATCTAGAAACAAGTATTCATTGAGGGCCTACTATGTACATACAGATTTAATGACAATAAAAATGTCTCCACAGAAAACGTCGGTGGAAATGTATCACTTTTAAATGATCTTGCTTATGAAAACTTCATTGCAAATCTGGCCCATGATATTCGCTTTCTTTATTTAAAAAACATGTCAATTTATTAGTTGTCATTCAACTAATGAGAAACAATAAAAATTTTACGTTTGTATTTGACTTGCACTTTAAATGCACAAGTTATAAAATGCTATGTTCTCTATCATGTGCTGTGAGTGGAATTCAAGTATCAGTTATTTCTATATCACACTTTGGTTTTACTCCTGGAAAAATCCCCAGCTCCACCATTAAATTAGGTGATATCTGGAAAGTAGGCTAATAGCAATTTAAAAGGTTGTTAAAAAAAACACAGGAGGTAGAAAAGACAAGATGAGAGAAGTGGGAGTTGAGATAACTAATTCTCTCTGGTTAACGTGAACAGGGGAAATATTACTGGAAGACTTCATCTTTATTAGAATAGAATTTTGCAGTACGTGTTGCCAATATAATTTCAGTACTCTGGACAGCTCCTTGGCAAACAGCTAACCTCAGGTCCATCAATCATGTCAAGAATATTTGGTTAATTAGAGTACCAGGATTATTGTTATTCCTCTTCCTCTCCTTCCCCTCTTTTCTTCCTTCATCTTCTTCTTCCTGTTCCTCCTCCTCCTGCTCCTTCTCCTCCCTCTTGTTTTTAAATATAATGGCCTAGAAGTTGTTTTCATTGAATTTTCAAGACATTAAATTTAAGCAACTCTTCCCTCCATGTGGTTGGTCATGGGTTTTGTCTGGGTCCTGACCACCTTGTAGACTTGTTGTTCAACAGAATGAAATGATAGGTGTAAATATTCTACCAAGCATCAGACCGCTTGGTAATTATTGACATATAATTGTGTTGTTTTGCGTTTAATCTGTACGTTTCTTTTGTTGGCCGTTTGGGGTTTTCCGTAGTGATGGTAGCCGGAGTCCTCCTTTCTTTCCCCCCCGCAGGAAATGCTGTTGAAGAGAGCTGCTGACCTTGTGGAGGCCCTATACGGCACACCCCACAATAACCAGGTGGGATCCTTGCGTCCTAACCCCTTGTGTGGAGGTTGACCCTCCACGCTGGGCACGAGGCTCACGCCCACCCCTCCCTCCATAGGACATCATTTTGAAGCGAGCTGCAGACATCGCGGAGGCTCTGTACAGCGTGCCCAGGAACCCCAGTCAGATCCCAGCTCTCTCCAGCTCGCCAGCGCACGGTGGCATGATGGGCATCAATTCTTACGGCAGCCAGCTGGGGGTCAGCATCTCAGAGTCAACACAAGGAAATAATCAAGGTACGGCCTCAACTCTGAATCCAGCCAGAATGCACGTTTGTGGTCTTCATGTAAATGTTTGGTTCTGCTGGAGGAGAAGGAACTGGAGGTTAGGACTATCCAGCAGAGCAGCCCTTGAACACAGCCATCCCCATGTAAGCCGCACCATCACAGATTGGCCCCCGTCAGCATTGCAGATGGTACATCGTTACATCTGAGCTTCTGGCACCAGAGAGAATCTCGTTAACTGCAAACATGTAAAGATGAGGTTGACTAGCATAAATTCAGAAGGGTTTGGGCCTGTGGAAACTAGGTTTGCAGATATTTACTAAATTTATATTTATACTATTTCAGTTATCCAATTGAATGAAATAAGGTCAACTGTTGCCATTCTCATTCATTCTATCTGTCTCTCCCCTTGTGAATGAATGACTTGATCTTATTTGGGTAACTTCCATAGTGTGTTATCTTATATACAGTAAGAAGCAATGTTACAGTCCACTATACTTCGACATGTGAGGTACATCGTGTTGATTTTTTTTTTTTGTCAGTTGTGGGGCCTGAACTCTGGGCTTGAGTGCTGTCCCTCAGCTCTTCAGCTCAAGGCTAGCACTCTATCACTTGAGCCACAGCACCACTTCCAGCTTTTTCTGCTTATGTGCTGCTGAGGAATCGAACCCAGGGCCTCATGCATGCAAGGCAAGCTCTACCACTGAGCCACCTTCCCAGCTCCCATCGTGTTGATTTTTATCAGAGGTCAATTTTATTGTTAAGGGGCAAATCTAACTCTACCTTTCATAAATCAATTTTGAAAGGAGTAAATTTTCCTACTGACGTCTTTCACCTTGGGATATTTTTATGTCTAATTTTGTTTATCTATGGGAGGAAGAATCCTCATATGGGAGGAAGAATCTTCTCATATGTGAGAAGAGCCCAAAGTGGGCTCTTCTCATAAGAAAGTAAGTGAGAGACATTATTACTGCATTATTATTTTTGTTAAACATGGGACCTGTGGACCATATAGCAATATTTTTTTTTATTTGGTGACAGTTTGGGGCTATTGGCTAGGTAGGCTTAGAGACAATTATCTCATGGGTTTGCCTCAGGAGAGACTGGGCTGGATTTCACAAACATGGGGGAGGATTTATCTTCCTCCCCAGCCTACGCACACACTGGGTGCCCACACTCAATTCATGGTGTCTTAGAGTCTTAGGTTAAAGAACAGAATACGTAGAGCAGCCCCTCATTACTTTTGTTTGTTTCTTTTTGTTTTTGTTGGTCATGGGACTTGAACTCTGGGCTTGGGCGCTGTCCCTCAGCTCTTCAGCTCAAGGCTAGTGCTCTGCACTTGAGCCATAGCGCCACTTCCGGTTTCTGAGTGGTTTATTGGAGATAAGAGTCTCACGGACTTTCCTACCCAGGCTGGCTTTGAACCGTGATCCTCAGATCTCAGCTTCCTGAGTAGCTAGGATGACAGGCATGAGCCACCAGCCCCCCCCCCCCCCCCCCCCCCGCTCTCATTACTTTTTGAGTGAACTTGATCGCAGTCTCTGCCATCCAACACTGAAGGCATGCAACCTCTGCGGACTCACGCTACCGAACTTGCATCTTGCAGAATGCAACTGACAACAGAAATGTTAGCAGGGTGCCTTCCTCCCACCCTCCCCCAAAAGAGGCTCTCTATGGTGTGCTCAATTTAGGAAATGCAAGATTAGCAAAGTTAAAGTCGCTTCCTTATTCTCTAGGCATTTCATCAAGGAATCTTCAAGAGCTAGCTACCGCGCATCACATCTGCCCAGCCTTACTTAATGTACACATGTTTCCCCATGCCAGAGATTCATATCTCATAGGAGTCCCATTCCTTAGCGTGCGCTGGAGATGCTGAGTGTGGGATTGGAACAGGGAGGAACACCACGGGTGTGCTGTGGGTGGGAGGGAGAGGGGGCAGGGAAAGAGGGATGGGTGAAAGGCTGGGGACCTAGTTATCTGCCACAAAGGTATAGTTAGGTAAGAGGAGCACATTCAAAGTGTTGAAGACCATGCTTGGGCGTCAACAATAATCGTATAATTCCAGGTAGTTACATGAAAAGATTTGGAATGCTCCTAACACAAAGGACCCATCCGTGTTTAATGTGACAGCCAGTGAGCCTGACGTGATCGCTGTCGGGTGTATACATGTATGGACAGTGGTGTGAAGTGGTGGTCTGGGCCGGTGTGGACCAGGGCTAGCCACGCACGGCCCACCGTGGGGACCCGCTGACCTAGCTGAGCTTTTCTTTTGTTGTCAAGGTTACATTCGAAACACAAGCAGCATCTCCCCGCGGGGTTACTCCTCCAGCTCCACACCTCAGCAGTCTAATTACAGTACCTCCAGCAACAGTATGAACGGCTACAGCAACGTCCCCATGGCCAATCTGGGTGTGCCGGGGTCCCCGGGATTCCTGAACGGCTCCCCCACCGGCTCCCCTTACGGAAGTAAGTGTGCTCCCCGTCCTGGCGGCTCCTGTCTCTCTCTGTCTCTGCGACTCACCGGTCAGCCTTTTGGGGGAGAGCTGCCTTCCTAAATCTTACTCGCATGTGAGGGATGGTCCAGGTTGGGGAGGAAATGTCCTTGCTGTATTTTCTTCTTTCCTCTTAGTTGCCCTTGGACTCAAGGCCTTCTGGGGAAAGAAATGGTTCTCTTGGTACAGGAGAGTACATGGGGCTTGGGTGTGTGTCAGAGAGGAAGATTCCATTTCAGTCAAAAACATGTATATTCTTCATCAGACACTTGACAGTGCAATATTTCATTTTGGTCCATGAGAAATGTCCAGAGTTAATGTTATTGTCATGTCATAGACAAAGATTTTTGGTTTTAGTGGTACTGGGATTTGAACCTAAGGCCTTTCACATGCTACTCGGGAGTTCTACCACTTGAGCCCTGACCTAGACAAAGAATTTTGGTGCACATCTTACCCATTACCACACAGTCTGAATACAGCAGGGCAAGGATCTGGGCACTGAATTGATGGCTTTGGGTTGTTATTTGTCACATCATGTTCTTTGTGTACTTGATGAAAGCCTGTGACAACTGTGACATAATGAGACAGCGCTGCTCAATCTTTTTTGACTTATATATATATATATATATATATATGTACACATGTATGTAATGCATATAATTTCTATATAATGTATATACATTCTTTTTTTCTTTCTTTTCTTTTTTTTTTTGTTGATCATGGGGCTTTCACTCAGGGCCTGGGTGCTGTCCCTGAGCTCTTTTGCTCAAGGCTAATGCTTTACCCATTTTGAGCCACAGCACCACTTCTGGTTTTTGAGTAGTTATTTGGAGATAAGAGTCTCATGGGGAATTTTCTGCCCGGGCTGGCTTTGAACTGCAATCCTCAGACCTCAGCCTCCCAAGTAGGATTACAGGCATGAGCCACCAGCACCCAGCTCTATGTTATATTTTTAAACTCTCTTTCAGTAGCTGTTATAAAGGGGTTTCAATTCAACACATCTGCTTATAAGGACAATGCATCTTGATCAATGTCACCCCTTCCTTAATCCTAATCTGTGGCTCCGGGATGTTGCGAAAACCCATTTGGGTAAAGAACCCAGATGGCCAGGCTGGGGACTTACACAATGGTCCCGGGAGACTGAGCCAGTGTGTATGTTTTTCCAGCCCTACTTAGGGAATTCTTGAGGCAAGAAACATGAGCGCCTGAGGAGAGTGTTCTTGAAATTCTGGGTGTTGTCGCAAGGCCCTGCAGCTTGCCCTCTCTTTACCCAGAGTGCGTCCCTGGTGCCAGCAGCAAGGACACATGAAGGAGAGCACACAGATGCGCCTGCCAGGCTCATGCGGGGCGGCCGTGGCGGCTGCCTCTCGCTGCCTTTGGACATTTGGTTCCCAGGGGATACGACCTCTTGAGTTATTTTTGGGTTATCTGTTCAAGACACACAGTCCACTCTCCACGGTGTGTGGGGACACAGCAACAAGTAGCAGAAAATAGCAGAGCTCATTTCTCTCAGCACAACGCAAGTTTTGTTACTGCAGACCTCTCCAGTAGTCCCGATTCATGAGTTCTGAGTGTCAACAGGAATAACTTATTGTCAGTTGATTGATTTATTAAAAAAATGCGATCCCATCCCAACAATGTTTTGACATATCATAAAAATCAAATAGGTAATAGGCATGTATAAACCCAGAGTTAATAGGAAACTGAGATACAAGGGAAAATGGTTAAGAAAACTAGATTAAGTCCAAGGGGCAAGCATGCATACATTCAGTCTATTTAATATTGTCTCAAGTTTACAGAATGTTAGAGGAGAACATTGTGCTAAGATTTTATGTCCTAGCCGGGCTCATGCCTATAAAAATAATCCTAGCTACTCAGGGGGCTGAGATCTGAGGGTCCTGGTTTGAAGCCAACCTGGGCAGTAAGGTCTGTGAGATTTTCATCTCCAATAAACTACTGAAAAGGCTGGAGGTAAAGCTGTGGCTCCAGTGGTATAGCGCTACCCATGGGTAAAAGAAGCTCAGAGACAGCGCCTAGGCCCCGAGTTCAAGCCTGGGGACTAGCAGGAAAAGAAAAAAAAGAGATTTTATGTCTAAATATTACTTGTGAGGGGTCTTAGGGTAAATATGGGTACTTCCGCTGAGGAGACCGGGAGGAGGCTTGCCTCAGGCCTTCCCTGCGTATGGCAGAGACCTGAGACCACCTGTGTACCAATCCCACAAGCCATGTGGTGTCAGGAGAGCCACTGGATGAATCTTGTCACCGAATGATGATGTCATCAGTGAGAGAGCACATTCACAGCCTGAGTTAGTCAGGTCCTCGCAAGCTCCCCGAGGCCGTGCAAATCATCAGTGTCATCACCACACTCCCTTGGAGGAGGTGAGGGATGACGTACTCAAAGATTCCTAGCCAATGAACAGTAAAGTGGGACCACAACCTCAGTCCCCAGCCTCTAGATAACCTGTGATGAAATTACTCCAGGATGTAAAAATATTAGTGTATTTGTAATATATTCTTTGCCTGAATCATATAAAATTCCTCCTTCTCTGACCACTTCCAGGCTATGGAAAAGGTCGCTTTATGCAGTTTGGTCATACATTCAGGTATGTGTTAGGTTAGTTTCCAACTGTGATCTTCAGATCTCAGCCTCCTGAGTAGCTGGGATTATAGGTGTGAGCCACCAGCACCTGGGTAGGGTCAATTTTCATTCATAAAAATGCCTGTGTGAGTGTTAATTGCTTACTAGGTCTTACTAGGTAATCCATCCAGTCGAGAGGCATTCTTCTCACCCTAGCAAGTAACTTTCTGATCACTCACACCAACCGCCACCTGTGAAAACAGGATGGTATACACAGAAGAGAAAAGGATCCTGGGAAGAAGGCCCTTTGCCCACTAGGAAGTAGGAAAGAGCAGAGGAGCTGGTAGTGAGCGCTTCGTTTTGGAGAGGTGGTCAGAGGAGTTGCAGTGTGGGCAGGAGATTTCAAACCATCCATCCATCGCAATCAGCTTCCCCAGCGGAGCTCATGGAAGTACCACCTGCTCTGTATTTCTAACCAAGTCTTAGACTTCTCTGGCAAAGGGAAAAAAAAAAAAGGAAAGGAAAGAAATTAAAAAAAAAAAAAAAGCCCAGAGAGGAACAACTTACGGATTCAGTTGCCTGTGTCTGTGTCTAAAACACAGATCTACGATTTCACTCTTGCAACCTGTTGTAGCTGAGCCATACCACGGGCCCTCCCTTGCCAGAAACATTTAACAAAGAAACAGAGTCACAGCTCCTGGTCGCGTTGGCCTTTCCTTACAGCCACAGCTGAGGATCAGACACCTGTGTCTTTCTGTGTGTGCTCTCACGCTGCTTCAGAACATGGTCAAACAGATGTTTGGGCATTTTTTTCCCCTCAAATCTACATACAAACGTCACTTCCTGGCCATAGCACCGTGTGCCAGGTTCCAGCTCTGTGAGTTGCTGTGGCTGGATCCTAAGCCCCTGAAAATCGGGACCTCTTAGTGTGAGCCTGGCTTGCATGCTGGCGGGTTCCTGCTGGGGGCGGCCAGTCAATCTTTGTTAGAAGAAAAGGGCTTTTTCCTTAACTCCCTCCATCCACGTAGCTTTCTGGGCCAGGAGTGTTTGCCTTTACCTTGGCCTCTATCCACTGGAGAAATTCTCAGTTGCAAATGCATGTGATTGGCCTTCCTCAAACAATACCCTCTGCCCTCCCTAAACCTGGCTTACCCAACACCCAAGGGACCTCTTCTTCCCAGGAGACCCAGCCACCAAATGGACCCCAAGTTTGGGACAGAATCCAGCCAGGCAGGAATCCAACCTGTCCTTGGAGATTTCTGCTTACTTTACAGACTTAAACGGGGACCTGGGCTTCAGTATCTTTACCTTTTTAGAAATTAATATCAAGAGTTTTCTCTTGTATGATATTAAGCATTGTTATCATTTAATAGTACATCATGGAAAGAATTTTATTTTTTGCGTGGAAAATAGTTTTGGTTTTTTAAAAGAAAGCCTGCTGTCACCCTAAGAGGAATAAATTTCTTTTAATTTATTGATACAGAAATTATACTTGTTTCTTTTCTCTTTTTTGTGCCAATCATAGGGCTTGAACTCAGGGCACTGTCCCTGAGCTTCTTTGTGCTCAAGCTAGCCCTCTACCATTTGAACCACAGCTCTACTTCTAAGAATGGACCACAGACACCAGGGCTGGCACTTGCTTTTAGGATGTTAATTTACCCAGGAATCTGAGGATTTATTATCTTTGTTCTTCAGTTTGTTTGTCTGTTTTGTGCTAAAGAAGTTAACACACAATTTTGTTGACAGGCCATAAAACCTTAAAGAAGAAAATAAAAATAATTCAGGAAACTATTACTCTTTTTGCTAAAGATGACTATTTTGAACAATGAAATAGAGATTTTCTATTTTCAAGTATTAGTTACTCATCCTGTTTTCTCCCACATCAGAAGTAATATATTTTCACTGTAGAAAAAATGAAAATAAGGATAATAATAAGAATGAATAAGAATATTTGTAATCTCATTCATCAGACAAGCCATTTTAAAGGCTGGCTGTATATTACATCCTTTTAGACTTTTGCTATATGAATTTTTTGTACCCGTAAAACTGTGTTAATGTATATATAATCTGCTTTTCTATTCTGAAGAGATATCTTTTCACGTATGTTAAATATTCCCTAACATTAGTCTCAATGTAGTATTCTACTATACGGACTAAACATAGTTTACCCTACTGAGGGTCACTTATTTCTCAATTTTTCATGATCATAAAAATGCCCTTGGATCTATTTTTTTGGCACATTTCTGATTATCTCCTTGGGATTAATTTCTTGAGATTAAATTAGTGGGTCAGAGGATATGAACATTTAAAAAGATTTTGCTGTGTATTGCCAAAATCCCTCCAGAGAAATTGATTCTTTCCTTAGAAAAGAGGGAATATATGTTGCTCTACCCTGTTAATTTTTTCTTTAATCTTTATCAGTTTAGTAAGAGAAAAAGAACATCTTGTTAGTACTTTAATTATCATTCTATTACTAACCAGTTTGTGGGTTTCTGTACATGTCATCTGGTCATTTTTCTTCTTCTTTAGTGGCTTTACTTTTTATGTTCTTTGCTCATTTTCCAAATGGAGTGTTTTTCTAATTTACTTATAAGAACATATTAGCTAGCAAGGACATGAACAGATTTAAGTAAGTGCTGAAAATATTTTTTTCTTACTTTGGTTTGGCCTTTTGTGTATAGATGTGGTTTTTTTTATTATGTGGTGAATATTATCTTGCAAACTTTTATTTAAGCTTTAGGGTAAATGAATCATGAGTATTACATATTCTTACTAAGTTTTCTTCCAGCACCTTTATAATTTTGTTTTTTCCATGTACTTCTTTGATCAACTTAGATTACATTGGTGATGAACATGAAGTTCTCTAAATTTAGTCTCCCAATTTTTAGTGTAGTGTTGCTATGTATTTCATAATACATAATTTCACAACAGGACATGTTACCTTTATTATGTATCAATTCATATATATATATATATATATATATATATATATATATAT